AAAAAAAAAAAAAAAAAAAAGAAGCCCAAACGCAGAAACTTTGCTCACACAGGCTGGTTCTGCGGGCAAAGTGGTTATTTAGGACTTTCCTTTCTGCAGTCACAGTTTTGCCTTGGATTTCAACTTTGCTTGGATTATAGTTTGGAAGCTTTTAAGTTTCATGATTTTAAAGAGAGCAACATCAGAGAAAAGACAACTATCTTCATGATAGTACCTTCGTTAAAAGGTTTTTTTGTTTGTTTGGTTTGGTTTTGTGTTTAGCTTAGTTTTGCTTTCCTCTAAAAGATGACCTCAGATGCATTATCAGTGTAACGTGATAGAAAAGTCATGGACTTTGGGCTTAAGTGAGTGGCCAGGGGTGGGGATAGGGCTTGATCCTGCTTGGTCATGTTTGTGATGCTGAGAAAGTTATATGATCCACAGGAGCTTCAGGTATTAATACTTCATTGTAAGAGAGCAATGATGCCTGCAGGGCAGTGCTGTCATGACAACTGCATGAGACCCTGAATATGCATCACTCAGCATATAGTGGGACATTTAGACAGCAGATCTGTTAATAATTATTTCCCAGCAGCACCAGCACAACACTGTTTACATTTTGCCACAATGAAATGCTTGTACAAAATTGTCTGGACCAAGGCCAGATGCAGTGCTCATGCCTGTAATCCCAGTACTTTGGGAAGCTGGAGCAAAAGGATCCTTTGAGCCCAGAAGTTCAAGACTAACCCAGGCAACATAGTAAGACCCCCATCTCACAAATCAAGTAAATAAACAAACAAACAAAATGATCTGGACCAGTCTGGAGGGCTAACTCAAGTTCTGCAGATAGGTTCTCAGAGGGGCCTGAGGACAACACGAATCCTGGGGGTTAACAGTGGGATAAAATACTGACTTGAAATTGTGTTCCTCAGGGACTGGGGAACACTCTCAGCAAGTTAGAGGGAAGCTGGCTGAGAGCAGGTACCAGATCAAACTCATTTCTGTATTCCCAGGGCTAGCACAACTCTTGGGGTTAGTGGCATCTAATCTATGAGACTTTAGGAAGAGTCCCCCACTGTCTCCAACATTCTAAGACTGTCTTGTAATAAAACAGGAAATGAACTTGTAGGCCTAACATTATAATGATTAAAGCCTCTTCTATTACTAAATTCTGTCCAAAGAGATCATTTGTTTATTCAACACATATTTTAGAAAGTCAGCTCTGTGCCAAGCCCTGTATAAGAAATGTCAGGATGGGGAGGGGTTTAACACTGATGGAAAGTTTGAGTATTAGAATTAGACAGGTTGAACAGAAAGCCACTGTTGATTGTCCATCTGCCACAACCCTTAAAGAAAGGCATAATGTTCCAGCGGGCCAGCAAGTACCTACATTCCTGGGAATTAGCAAAAGAAAGCCTCTTCCTTTATCTCCTATACATTCCCTGTTAAGTCACTTCAGAGAAACCTTGACCCCTACAGACTGCACTCACTCACCTGAGAGAAATGAATCTCTATTCATTTTGCTTGCTTTTATCAGTGGTCATATATTTGAAAATATAGCACCCAAATAACCATAAGCCTTGTAACTTATATAACTTGTGATGTGTTATAACTGTTAATCAACAATACATTGTAGTGAATACTGTTTTACTTTGTAATACACTCTGTTAACTCCCTTACTCTATGGCAAGCTTATTCAGCTTTTCAGTTTGGTGTTACTGATAATGCTGTGAGTTTCCTTTTGGTAGCCAGTGCCAGGAAATGCGGGCCATATGTTAACAAAATGAGGCCGTAACTTGAGTTCTATACAATGCTCTGCCATCACGTAGTCAATGTATAGGTACGAGCAACCCTAAACTTATAAAAACGGATTGTGAAACCTAAGCAGTGAGCAAAACTTTTTCAGAAATGCCAAAAGTCAGGTTCTGCTCCCTGAATCTGAATTCAGAAGTAAAGTTCTTTTTGCCAGTTCCTTGCCTCATGATTTATTGGCGTCGAGAGATAGAGCCCAGCTGAGAGTTTACTCAGACTGTAACAAGGTCTGGGTTGTTTTCCTAACCACTGTCAATTTGCTGTGACCTTAGGTAGGTTGCCTGACATCTCTGAGTCCTAGTTTCTTCATCTGTAAAGAGGAAATGGTTTTAAAATGCACCTCATTACTGTGAAACTTAAACGATAGGATACAAAGCTATTAACATCATACTTGATATACAGCAAATGACCAAAGAAATAGTTTTTATATTGATTATTTTCTCATAATGATGACATCATCCTCTAACACTAAATTCTGTCCATAGATGTCATGCATTCATTCAATATATATTTTTTAGAGGCTGCTGCTTGCCAAACACTGTGAGCTCTGGGATGTAACAGGAAGGAAAATAAGATCCTGGTTCTAGAATAACTGGGACTCTTGTGGAAAGACTAAAAAATAAACAAATGCACAGGGCAAATGTACAGCGCAATTCAAGTCTGTATAGAATAAGTAAGCAGGGCTGGAGTTTGAGAGGAATTGGGCTGGGGTGACCAGGGAGGACTCTCTGGGCGGAAGCCACCATGATAGTCTGTGAAGGGGCTTCCAGGCAGAGCAAAGTTCTCTGGGATTGAAGCCCTGGGAGACCTTTTGGATTAGACCCTTTTTGGTCCCTTGCCATTCTAAGGTTGTCAAGTTCTCAGCAAATGACTAAGCATTGCCATCATGTCATTTCTAAGTAGCATTTCACATACTGGCTGTTTAATGACATTCATGATATAGTGAGAAATGATGTTTGGTCCTTAAAAAAGAACACATGTAACCAGAACCTCTCTTATGGATTGGAAAAGCATCCCTTCAAACCACGCTTGCTTATGCAAACGAACATAGATGACTCAGCCTCTTTGGGCATAGCTGGTTGGTGGAGGCAGACACCCACCCTCCACCAGCAGTGTTGTAGAGTTGAGCTGGCTGAGAGGGACTTTCCTTGCCTGACAGCTGCTTGGGGAAAGGGTCCAGCTTGCTGAACCTGCCACCCCATACCCCAGACTCAGGACCAACAGGGCCTGGCCCACGGTGTAGATTTGTGAAGCTAAATATACAACCTTTCTCTAAGATGCAATGTGCCCTTGATCCCTGAGAGGGACTGAGCAGAAGAGAAAGCACCCAGCACTCACAGGTGAAGGCCTATTTACTAGCTGTGTGACCTTAAGCATAAGCCTTAATGTCTCTGAGCTTGTTTCATCTCTATTTTTATAAAATTGGGATAATAGTAACATAGAGTAATGGATGAGTGAGGGGTCTGGAATGAGAAGTATTTCGATTCACATCCCTGCTCCCGCATTTTCCCTTCCTGCCAGTTCTCAAGTGAGATATTCAAGCTCTCTGGGCCTCCTGTCTTCATTTGCTAATAGGAACACTGAGAGCATCGACTCATCAGGCCTGGATAGGGCAATGTCCCTGCATAGTGTCCACCTGTTTGCCAGTGGCAACACATTCTGGCTCTACTAATAAGCACTGGTATCTTGGAAGATAACTTTGAGTTTTAAATAAGAAAGTATGTAGAAACATGTCTGGAATACAGCAAGTGTTCACTAAATGCTGGATGCATTAATGAATCTCTCACTCTTGAGTGTGTGATGACTCCCCATCCCATCATGCTCTGAACTAACACTCTGCATGGAGAAGGGGGGGGTGGTTCTCCCTGATACTGACTCCCTGTGACTTTGACTGAGTCACTTTCTGGACATCAGTTTCCTCATCTGAAAACTGGGAGAACAGAGGGAATTGGATCATCTTTTGTGTTTTTGTCACCAGTAACTTTTTATCACATCTTCCCCAATTTTGTCTTCCATTCAGACTGCATTTGTTACATACAGTCCATTTGAATGTGCAATTTTTATACAGTAAAGAATCCCTCTGCTCAGCAAGCATGCTGGGAGATGTGAGTTAACAGAGTTAGAAATGCTGCTACTGGTGAGTGAAAGTTCAGACTCAAAGCAACAGGGTTAATCCCAGGTAAAGGTATAATGTACACAGGGCATTTACAATGTTTAATGCAGCCTGAGGCACATTCTGCCCCCACACAGACTTCTAGCTGGTAGACTTAATCTGAAGCAACTGAGCCTGTTTTCTTAACTGGAAAAATAGAATAATTTCTCACAAGACTGTCATGAAACCTAAGTGTGATGATGTGACAAAATGCTTGCAGGAAAAGCCAGCACCCAGTGATTACTCAGTCAACCTGGGGACCATAGTGGGAACCTGTTGACCCAGGTCCTCTGTGAAATACCCTGACATAAGGAGCCTCCTCTTCCAATGACAATAGCTCTATCTCTTCCCCTAGAGCTTTCCCACTCTCACCCTGGTTGTAAAGACCAGGCTTTCAAGGCATGTGGCCATGAGCAGTCATCACCCTCAGCAGGGAGGTAGTCCTGGGGAGTCCCCAAGGTATCCTGAGTTCTGGAAAGGCCTGTGCCCACATGTTGGAGAACACCCACTGAATGCACACAGAGAGCAGCCTCTCCCTCATCTCCCTGCTGTATGGCTATTGTCTCAGTTCCCAGTCCATGATGAGCAGTGATCGAATGCCCCAGAGGCTACAGCCTAAACATCACCAGGAGGCAGATGCCATGAGGGTTCTTAGAACTTGGAATCTTAAGAAGGCCCAGTGAGGAGCCACTCTTGGAACCTACTGGGCCCCATGCAACAGGGGGCCTTTGACAATCCATAGGGTCCCATATGCTGGAGTTCATGTGCGTGGTAGAGCCACAGGGATCTAAGGAGCCCTGGAAGTGGGAGAAACTGGTGCTTGGGAATTGAGGAGCTTGACCACGAAGACCTTGGAGGACCTTGCAGTTCTAGGGTTCTGTATGACAAATATCAAAAGCTAAAGGGTGTGGAGCCTGTTTAACATCAGACTTTGTTCCAGAGAAGCAGAATAGGCAGAAACAGGTTTTGTAGCTAGCTCTTTCTAGGTTCAAACACTAGCCCCGCTTGGGCTAGAGGCAGAGGACTAGCAGGTGTTCTCAAGGTCTCTTCCTCAGTGATGCAGGGGTAAGGATGTGCCTCACAGGGTTGCTGCCTTGAGGGAATCTGGACAGCACCAGGGAGGTCTTAAAGCAGGGCTGGGGGTATGGGGGTATTGGGGTATCGCTCTAAAACAATGGCCAACTAACTTTGGGGAGCAGAAGTGGGCTGTGACCTGGAGTGAAGGAGAATACCACAGTCACATACACCTGGCTTCCTGTCCCTGCTCTCAGACTCAGCAGCTCCATGACTTTGGTACAAGTTCTCAATCTCTAAACCTCCATTTTCCATCTATACAAAGAGGACAAGGTAGCCATGTCACAGGGCTACTTGAGGAGTCCCAGGGTTGTTGGACTCCCTGGAGACATGTAGGATATGGCGGCTCACATTCAGAGAAGGGTCACAGGTGACCTCGGCAGAGTGCCTCACTCACCAGGAGAGACAAAGGGGGACTGGAGAGCCTGACAGTTTGCCCAGAACCCGGGTGGTCATGTGCCCAGTGCCCACCCTGGGAGAAGTCAGGGCCACGAGCATCAAAGTGGGCCAGGTCCTCCACTTTCCAGTTCTGTCAACTGTCACTAGAAATCGCCACCTTCATCTGAGTTTCCCCTTAGCATTCGTATGTGGGAGAATTAGAAAAAAAAATCAAATAATTTTCAAAAATCAGACATATACTCTACTTTGTGGTTCCATTTGTATTGGTTTCAGCGAATAAAAACAAAGACTTGAACATGACAAAACTCCGGACAACAAGGAATTAACTAGGTGGCAGCAAAGGGCACCAAAAGAAAAGATAAATAGCCCAAAATAAATAAGGGCTGGGAAGGAAAATGAAAAATGTTCCTAAGGTAAGTGGACTGTGAGGCAAGGCATTGGGAGATAAAGAAGCAACTATTTAATACAAAAATGAGAGATGGCCCCTCGCTGAAGACCAGAGGCAGCTGAACCACGTGGCATCAGGAAACCTTAGCCATGGCCAGTTCTGGCATCACTTGCTGTGCCAGGCACCTACTGTGTGTTCCTGTTCTCATCCAGCATGGCACAGCAGAGGTCTGCCTGCAGAAAGCTTTGCAGATGACACCCCCAGGCAGCCTTGCTTTCTCCTGTGTCTTTGGCAGCTAATTTGTTTATGGGTCTGCCTCCTCCATCAAATGGTCAGCTCTTTGGGAAAAAAGGTCTAGATCTAATTCGTGTTTCCATCCTTTGAAAGTCTGGTGCTTTTAGCTGGGCCTAGTGGCTCAAGCCTGTAATCCCAGCACTTTGGGAGGCCAAAGTGGGAGGATTGCTAGGAGCCTAGGAGTTTGAGAGCAGCCTGGGCAGCAGAGCAAGACCTCATCTCAACAACAACAAAATCTTTTTTTAATTCGCTGGGCATGGGAGGCAGAAAGACCAGTCAGGAGTGGCTTGCTGAGATGGGGGAAGGGGAAGGGCTGGAATAAGCAGCTGTTTTAGGACTATTTAGGAAGCACTATGGCCATGACTCGGTGATTATGTGGATGTGGGGGCCCAGGTAGGAGAAGAGATACATCTAGGGTGTCAGTGGCCAAACATGAGGTCTGCACCATGCCTAACACATGCTTTAAGCATTAAATAGCTAACTTCGCAGAAAAGGTGTATAACACTTTTCATCACTAGATTTTGCAGAACTTTTGGTTATTAGAGCTGAGAGGGGCACTCGGAGACATTCTGAAGGATCCATTTTTGTATAGGTAGGGAAACTGAGGCTCAGAGATGTCAGAAGATTGACCCACGGCCGCCCAGCTAGTGAATAGCAGAGCCGTCTAAGACCTATGCCTCCAATCTTTCAAGTCATGTCTATGTCTATTCTATTCCCCTTCCTCACTGTCCAGACCCAGATAAGCCCTAAAAATAGCCAGAGTCATTTAAGAAAAAGTCTAGAGGTGAGAATTTGGGGAACTGCATTTTTTTTCCAGAATACAAAATCTGCTCCGATTACCCAATTGCATTTATTTGTTTATTTAAATTTATTTTTTTAAGGAAGAAAAGTTTATTTAAAAGTAAATTAGAGAGAGAGAAGGGAGAAAGAAGATTCACCTCCCCAAGGTGGAGGAGGGGGCCAAAACCAGGAAGCAAGGAGACAAGTCATAGCTCAAAGAGCACATGACCACACCAGAATCTAACAAGACAATGGCCACTAGCTGCTTGTGGTTGATTGCATTTATTTTATTTTATTTTATTTTATTTTATTTTATTTTATTTTTTGAGTTGGAGTCTCACTCTGTTGCCCAGACTGGAGTGCAGGGGCTGCTCCCGCCCACTGCAGCCTCAACCTGCTGGGCTCCAGCAATCCTTCTGCCTCAGCCTTCCAAGTAGCTGGAACTACAGGCGCGCGCTACCACGCCCCGCTAATTTTT